TGATCAGTAGAGGTAACACTGAGTGGGTCAATGGGACTAGGATGTCAGAGGAGGGAGGCAGTGACCATGCACATCAGTTCTGAGTAGACACAGACTTGGGATGGTTTGCAACATCGTACAAGCCCCATCTGATAGGGCAGAATCCTACCAAACGGGGAAAGTCCTGCTAAAATATATCAGAGAACTATGACTATTGTGTGGGTATGGAAAGTTGCAACAAGGAGGGAAGAGTTGAAAGCTTGAGCGGGGAGGACCTAGAAGTAAAGGGGAGGAAATTGAACAAAGGCAGGAGTGGTGATGTAAGCTTTGCGTCTGGCTCACCAGAAGACGTTGTCCACTAGCAGGGCCTGTGAGACTGTGGAAGAGTCCCCCAGGGAAGGGATGGGAGCTGCATTGCCAGCTGGGACACTGAGAACTAGGTGAAGCCCTGGAGAATAGTTTGAACAGTGCCGGGCTGGCTCCAGGAAGAACAGACCAGGTGTCAGAGATGTGTCCTGGTCAGACTCAAGACTGGAATGACATGGCGCTCTGGGGCTGCTTTGGATTGGAAACACACAACTGGTCCTTACTGTTTAATGGAAGAGCCCAGGACCCAGATCTGAGTGTCCCCAGAACGTTGGCAAGTTTGGATCCAGATGCAGTCAGTCCCCAGCTCTGGTTTCTAGGCCTCCACCAGAGAGAGGGGGCCCACTGGGGCCGGTTCCCTTGTCCCAGGTAGAGGTGATTCCTCTATGCCAGGAGAGTTGTGCAGGCCCCTCACCTGTGCTACAGTGGGATATGCCCAGAAGGATACAGCAGCAGCACCAATGTGACATGAGCAGGTGGCTTTCAGTCCTGCTCCAAGCAGGAGAGGTGTCTCCACTGCAAACCCTGTAACACTGCTGGCACAGATTGGTGCCCTGGGCGGCAGTCTCAGCAGAGAGGCCAGGGACTGCCTGGGGCCTGGAGACTCCCAGCTGCCCCCAGAGCAAGATCAAGTTACAGGGTATGGGGGCTGCCTTTCCTGAGGGATGAGCACAGGACATCAGGTTTGTGGTTAACACTTAGGCTGGGAGTCTAGAGAGCTGGTTCTACTGGATTGGCCAGTGACTCTGTGTCCTTGGGTGTGTCACTTCTCCACGCATTGCCTTGGTTTCCCATCTGTAAGATGGGCTGAGGATGCTGGGGTAGGATCAGGACTCTGAGGCAGCACAGAGAATTCTCTTAGTGGTGTGGCAGGTCAGGCCTGCTCACAGACACAGGGTCTAACTCCGTGATTCTCAGCCTATTTACCATTGTGGTCCAAAATGCTCCCTGTATGGCCCTGAGGATGTCACATGGGCCACAGCTCTGTGCTGATAGGGCAGCATGCAGCCTGTGGGTCGTGGAGTGAGAACCACCCATCTAGCTAATCAGCATTTTCAAGGTCAGAAAAGAATTCCCCCCTCCCCCCAGCTCAGATTGACAGGGCTCTGGGGTTAGTTTACTTTCCTCTGCAGCATGGATCATGTGGCTATATCTCATCTAATCACTTTCCTGTCTTTGTGGGGGCCTTGGGCACGGTCACTGCCTTGCTCCCTCCTCTCGTCTGCCAGTGGCACATAGTAGTCTCCTGAGGGCTGTAATATTTTCATCTAAACTAAGTTACAGGGCTCAGTGCAGGGGTGGCGGGGTAGTTGCCCATGGTATGTAGGTGAGACTGTAAGATCTGGCGAGCTCTTCCAGCCTTAAACTCCAGGCAGGTCTGCACAGAGATTCCTGGAGACTTGGGGTCAAACTGTGGAACAGAGCCACCCCCACTTCCAAAACATTACCACAGAGAGGAGGCTCCAAGTATGAGGGCAGTGTTTCCAGAGCGAGCCCACTTGGCACTCACCCCACTGTGGCAGCAGGGCTAGGCCCTGCTCTCTGCTCTGGAGCTGCAATCTGGCACACCGGGTCACAGAGCTGCTCTGGTCTGGCACAGATGGGCCCCCATCATGAGGGAGCTGTTGCTGGGCCACTCCTAAGTGTTGGGTGTGATCTGTATGTCAGGTTACAAAGCCATTCACTCCAGATTGAGCCCCCATCATGACAGAGGAGAGACCAGGCCAAATATAAGTGGTGCTGCAATCCTTTTTCCCTGCCCTGACTCTGTGACCCACTTCTGGGCTTTGCGAGGCTAAGTCCAGGTATGTCTCTAAAGTACTTTGAGCTCCTGTGGTGGAAGATGGCACGAGACAGATAAAATCCCAAACTACAAGCCGTCCTCGCTATAAATACAAGATACGTTCCAAAAAACTTGGACTTATAGCGAAACAACTTAAAGTGGGTAATTTTTTTCCCCGGGGCTGACTTTTATCTGTGCAAATTGGAGGATTTTTTGCATGACTTAAGAATGGGGAATGGGAAGACTTATAACACATCAGTTCCTATAAGCATCAATAACTTCAGTGCAAAACGGATATATACTGGGGCGACTTATTGCGGGGATGCCCTGTATTTTCTCAGAGAAATTCCCACTGGTGTCAAAACTTCCAGTGGCTAAGTAAGAAATTATTACAGATCTTAGAGTTTGGTCTTATGGTTAAAAATAAGCTTATAAGGAAAAGGGGAGCTATAGATATTCCAGCTTGATTAAAAAAAGGGTTGAGTGGCATTTCTAAACCATATGGCATCTTCCTCACTTCTCCCCACCATACCTGCCGGGTGTGGTCCATCCATTGTTGTTGGGGTAAGTTCCAACTTCAACATGTGATGGATTTTGATAACCTTGAAATCACAGGATTATCTGCCAGTCTCCCCAATAATCTACTGCTTTCAGAGGGTTTGCCTCTGCATCCACCACCACTCCATGGGAATTACAAGATTATGGACTGATCTCCCTAAATGTTTGTCTACATTTATCTCCTCTGTGAGGTCAAAATAATCTCTGGACTCTTTTCCCTGTCCCCCCCTTCCCCACTAAGGACTTGTTTCTTTTGCATTTTACCCGTAGGAGTAGTTTGGCCAATGGAAAAAGTGTCACCTCACTTGATGGGGGGATTTAATCTTCACCCTTCCCACAGCCCCCAAGCCCACAGAGCTCCCTGAACTCACCACTGATCTCTTACTTGCCCCCAAGAGTGAGATTCCTCAGAGAATGGATGAGATCCTGGTTTCTTTCCTTTGTCCATGAGCTCCTCATCCCACCCGGTTTATCACACACCCCTCTCCTGAGCCTACAGGATTCTCCAACTCCGCTCCCTCACCCTGTAATCATCATACCCTCTCTCCTAGCCAATCCAATTGGTGTTGCCACCCCACTTCTCCTATGGGACCTGTCACTGCCCCCTAGCCCGCATTAGTTCCATTTGTTCCCACGAGGGTGTGCCTCCTGCTATCAACTGCATGATTCCTCTCTGCTTTTTGCTCCCTGCAGGAGATACCTGATTGTCCTCCCAGCCAAACTGACCTTCCCATCTGTCCAGAGAGTGTGCTTGGACCTGAGAGGGGTAGAGAAGCCCATTCGAGTGGCCTTGACTCTGGTGCATGCGTCGAGTAGCCTTGTCCTCTTCCGACAGGTCATCCGGAACAAGAAGATCTTTGAATGCTCCAGGTTTCAGGTGAGCAACATGCCTGGGGATGAGACAGACGCCCATTGCTGACAGCTCCCAGGTGGCTGTGTCACATCATAGGCTCTCTCGCCAGAGAACTATCTGGAGACTGGGAAAGCAAGACTGATGTGGTGGGGGGAGGAGAGAGGTAAGAAGGTAATGGCAGTCTGCATAGTCTCTTCCCTCTTTCTGCATTTATCTGTGTGGCTTCCTCATAATGTTCCCATTTGGTGAGATGAAATGTGTCTGGCATGTTGCACTAAGTCCCAGATACGTGGTCTAGAAACCCAGCCTTTTCTGGCACGCTGGCCAGGAGGGAAGCCATCTCTGCTTTTTCCCATTGTGTTTCCTCATTTATCGCTCCAAGGCCAGATCTACATTAGACCTGGAAGGTCTGCGTACGGTACACAACACCAGTTATGTAGAATACATAGATGGAGTTGATTTACCTTAAGCCAAGTTTGGCGGCGTCCTCACACTCCCATCAGCCTCCCTTACCCCTCACAACTGTGAGGAGTACAGGTGCTGGCTGGAGCTGCCCTTCACGTTCAATTTACAGATCTAAGTCGAATCTGCTAAATCGTGTGCCAGAACGTTGATCTCAGCGCAGCACGTGTAGATGTGCCCTAAGTGTCTTGCCACATGTCCTCCTCTTGCTCTCTCCCTGATCTCTCCCTGGATGGGAATATAGTGCCTTAAAAGGTGCTGAACTAGCAGCTCTGGGGAGTGGTGTTCTCTGGCTAGCCCTGATGAGGAGCAGCATGCTGCTTCCTGTCCACCACCCATAGGACACTGTCCGAAACCTCCTTTAGGAGAGAGGGGGGATTTCAGACCCCATGAGCTATTCACTCACTGACTCTCACACAGGGACGGCAAGTGAGGGAGCCAGTCAGTGCTGCTTTGTGAAGCCCTGCTAAGGATCAGAGTGAGCTCCCCTCCCGACTGCGGGTGAGACCAGGCAGTGCGCAGGCCACCGTACGGGTTGCTCAGGCACCAGGACAAACCCCTTTCTTCCTTGCTAATGTCACTGCCACTCCATGCATGTGCCAGGGGCTGCAGCCCATATCCTGCAGCAGGGCGAAGACACATCTATTGTGGCAGGGCGCCAAGAGAGTGGATAGCATCAGGTGTGGCAGGCCGCCAAGAGAGTGGATAGCATCAGGTGTCCTTCCCAGCAGGGAGGGAATTAATTGGACCAAGGCTCCAGGGGGGAGGGGAGAAGAGCAGCTGCATTGGAGCCTTTGGGACAGGGAAGATTGTGCCACACTCCTTTCCCAGCTCCCAATTTTCCCCTGCGAATGAATGATGGCCCCTGTCTCGTGTGCAGGTCCCACCCCCCGCGGGGGGACGGGAGGAAGTTTGCACCGTCCAACTGAGCATCTCCAACGGCCGCTACTTCAATGTGAAGGAGCAGAAGGAGGTCCTGATTCGCAGGCGTGACAACAGCACCTTTGTGCAGACAGACAAACCCATTTACACACCAGGGCAGACAGGTGAGAGCTGTGAGCACATCACACAGGCTGGCTCCCTGGGCGAGGTCAGAGCTGCCCTGCATTTGCCTCTGTCAGCCAGGGGCAGCTGCTATATGTATTGCCTGTTGGAGGAAGCAATTGTGGGGAACAGATGGACATGAGCTTGCCAGGCCTTCCTCAGTCTGTGCCTGAGCACCAGAGGGTTCTGCCCCCAAAGCATCAGCTTCCTGGCCACCCCCTGCAGTCAGCACTAGGGGCTGGGGAATATTAGGGGAGCTCACACATGGGAGGGGAGCACATGGGTGGGAGGGAAGATAGAGCACACTGCAGGATGTAAGTGGCACACAAGGCTGGAAGACACTGTGCAGGTCCTCAGGTCTGACAGGGGACACAGTGGTACCTGGGGGCAGGAATAAAGTCTGGAGATACATACAGTCAGTGATGGGGAACAGGAGGGACTAGGCAGGAATTCACTGGGATATGGGGACATGAAACAGCCAAAGGACTGGAAGAAACCCACTCTTGTCCCCTCTCACAAGGAGGAGCTTGGAGGCCTCCACAGGAGTTCAGCTCCTGTCTTTTTATAGGCTTCACTGATGAGAATATGTAACAGAAAGGATAGGCTGCAGCCTGAAACCCATAACTAATTCCAATTGTCAGAAGAAGTGGGACAAAAATGTTGGATGTGGAGTACAAATAGTAGAATTTCCACAGTCTGGCAGGGCTGTGTGGGGAGCCCAGGGCTGGAATAGCAGGGGGCTGCAGGGCAGGGCTGAGGGGCACTGGCAGGGCTGTGGGGGGATCCCAGGGCTGGAATAACAGGGGGCTGCAGGGCAGTGCTGGGGGGCACTGGCAGGGCTGTGAGGGGGGCCCAGGGCTGGAATAGCAGGGGGCTGCAGGGCAGGGCTGAGGGGCACTGGCAGGGCTGTGGGGGGATCCCAGGGCTGGAATAACAGGGGGCTGCAGGGCAGTGCTGGGGGGCACTGGCAGGGCTGTGAGGGGGGCCCAGGGCTGGAATAGCAGGGGGCTGCAGGGCAGGGCTGAGGGGCACTGGCAGGGCTGTGGGGGGATCCCAGGGCTGGAATAACAGGGGGCTGCAGGGCAGTGCTGGGGGGCACTGGCAGGGCTGTGAGGGGGGCCCAGGGCTGGAATAGCAGGGGGCTGCAGGGCAGGGCTGAGGGGCACTGGCAGGGCTGTGGGGGGATCCCAGGGCTGGAATAACAGGGGGCTGCAGGGCAGTGCTGGGGGGCACTGGCAGGGCTGTGAGGGGGGCCCAGGGCTGGAATAGCAGGGGGCTGCAGGGCAGGGCTGAGGGGCACTGGCAGGGCTGTGGGGGGATCCCAGGGCTGGAATAACAGGGGGCTGCAGGGCAGTGCTGGGGGGCACTGGCAGGGCTGTGAGGGGGGCCCAGGGCTGGAATAGCAGGGGGCTGCAGGGCAGGGCTGAGGGGCACTGGCAGGGCTGTGGGGGGATCCCAGGGCTGGAATAACAGGGGGCTGCAGGGCAGTGCTGGGGGGCACTGGCAGGGCTGTGAGGGGAGCCCAGGGCTGGAATAGCAGGGGGCTGCAGGGAGGACTGGTGCCCATTTCTTTATGTGTTCCATCTCCATAATTTCTCTTTCAATGTTCTTTTATCCTCTCAGTGAAGTTTAGGATTGTGACTCTGAATGAGGAGTTTGTTCCCCTTAACAGCAAGGTAAGGCACATTCTAGGGGACAAATGGAAGTTTCCTGACTCCACATACAACCTGTCCCATCCTGGCCACCTCCACTCATGATAAGTGCAAGTCTTGTCTTTCCCTTTCCCCATGAATGTCAACAATGTCTAAGAGGTCCTACCCCTCAAGGTAGCAATTGTAAAGCATTTATAAAGTTAGATGGGAGCTGGAGCCCAATTGCTAATGCTGAGACTGACGCCCAGAGCTGTCAGAATCACCACATGGCTGGAGTTCAGAAATGCTGATTCTCTAGTTGATGTATCTTGGCTCCCTTTTCTGGCTGCTGATTGATAGGCCTGAGATCTCACCACAATTCTCTATGGAAAAAGGGCGTGCCAGACAGGCTGTGTAAGTATCTGCAATTTACTATGAAAATCACATACACAGCAAGTTCAGTCTAAAACTCCTGTCCTGAAGCTTTGAAAAGCTCAGACTTCTACTATCTGAACTCAAAGGGTATGTCTTCACATCAAAGTTAGTTCGGGATACCAGAGGTATCCTGAAATAGCTACCCTGTGTCTTCACAAGCCACCCGTTATTTCGAAATATTTTTTGAAATAATGGGTGCGCTATTTCAACATCCCAGTAACCCTCATTCCACAAGGGTTAAGGGATGTCTTGAAATAGCACTTTATTTCAAAATTTGGTGCTGTATAGACAGCACCAAATTTCAAAATAGCCTATTTCGAAATAAACTCAAAGTAAGCTACGCAATTTGCATAGCGCAAATTGCGTATCTTATTTTGAGTTTAGTGTGCAGTGTAAACATAGTCAAAGAGAGCTTCTTGTGTTACCAGTATTATTAATATTTACTTTTATTACTGTAGCAATAGGCCTGGAGCGGGCCCCTATTGCGCTAGGTTCTGTACAAACACAGATCCTAAGAGGAGTCAATTTCCATTCTTTGAAACACCCACTAGAAGCAGCTATCACATGCTCACTCATATGTACAGATGGAGTCTGAATCTCCAGTGACTTGCACATGGTACCATCCTTTGCACTCTGAGTAGCCTTTTCCATGTCAGATTACATTAAGTCTGATTTTGGACAGGTATAAATGATGGAGTGTAAGGCAGTGAAAAATCAGAGCCACAGGCAGGCATTCACACTCGCTCCTGTGTTTATAATATGGTAACCACTTCCCTTCAACAGTGGCTGGAACAGTAAATGCCTGCTGTAACCCTTTCCCTGTGAAGTCAGTGATTTCAGAACAAACACACAGTTCAGTTCTGTTCTGTTCTGTTACTGAGGCTATGTCTAGACTGCAGGCTTCTTTTGGAAGAACCTTTTTCCGGAAGAGATCTTCCAAAAGAACTTCTTCTGAAAGTCCATGTCCACACTGCAAAAGTGCATTGAAAAAGCAATCTGCTTCTTCGAAAGATAGCGTCCACACTGAATGGATGGTATCTTACATTTAAGCTGTGATTACTATGGACAGAGTGGCCACCAGGGCACCTGTGCTTTTTCCTCTTTCCTCTTCTTTCAGAAGAACTCCCTCTTCCCCGTCCACACATGACTTTTTCTGAAAGAGCTCTTTTGGAAAAAGGCTTCTTCCTCATAGAAAGAGGATTATCAATGCTGGAAAAAACCCTCTGTTCTTTTGATTTACTTTCGGTAGAACGTGATTGCAGTGTGGATTTAACTCAGGTTTTGTCAGAAAAACAGCTGTTTTTCTGACAAAACTCTGTAGTCTAGACATCCCCTGAGGGAATGTTACCAGCTGTCCGGATTTTATTGTGAGTCTCTTGGTTTCTGAGTGCCTCACCTTCTGGAATGATATTGTCTGAGAACACTTGCTTTCATTTTGTTTTTAAAAAGTAAGTTTCTAGCCCTCCTAGTTGTAGAGAAAATCTTGAAAATGTGAAGCAAATGCTCAGAAACCAGACGACAAAGACAAAGAACCCAACATTGATTATTTTAAAACATGTCATGACCTTTAAAGTCCATCTCATGATTCTTTTTGGTGGGGTACTGGACTCATTTTTCAACTCTGAGGACAGTATTGCTGTTGTGGCATGTATAACTAGCGAGTGACAATGGCATTTTCTTACATATCTGTCTGATGGATCATTACATTTTCTAATACTGCTGTCTGCTCTCTTTTCAGTACCCTGTGGTAGAACTTCAGGTAAGTCTCTCAAAACACCTAGATGCTATGGTGATGCATGCTCTAACCCACATGCACAGATAATTTTAACATCGAGTTACCGTTATTCCCTTCGCACAAGGGCATGTGTCTATTTTCTCCAGTTACTTTTCACAGCAGATATCCAAAACCTGATGATCAGTCTTTTATGAATGGGTAGATTCCAGAACTTTAAGCAACCTATGTTGATCCTTGAGTTTCATTCCTAGATAAAGTGGGCTATTCTAGAAGTCAGGACCCTTCATAGTCTCCTTTTAAGCTATAGCTTGGATAGAATTCTGCAACTTCGAGGACTCCAGTATTTAAAACTTCATATACTATAAAGTCTAGGTGATTTAAAATTTGAGGGCAACAATAAGGTAGAATTTTATTTTAGGCCTATTTGGGACTTAATGGACAAAGAAACTACAGCCTTTATAACTTTGCAGATTCTGGGATCTAGGCTCTTCTTAAACTTGGAGCCTTTGGAGATTTTTGGGTTCTGGCCTGTGGCTGGACAGCTCTTGATGAGAAAAAGAAGCTAGTAGATTTAGAACTTTATTAGTTCTGCAACTCAGATTATTTTAGAATGTAATGAGCAAAAGTAGTTGGAATTGTGAGACTGCTCTGGACTCAGTCTTTTAAAATAAGCAAGTAGGTCAGTGCTAATGGAGGCTGCTTTTTTTTCTCTCTCTGTGAGAGCAGGACCCCAATAGTAACCGGATTGGTCAATGGCTGGATGTGCGACCGAGGCAGGGCATTGTGAATCTATCCTTCCAGCTAGCTGACGAACCTTCCCTGGGGACTTACACCATCAGTGTACCGGGCACAAAAGCTTCTAGGACCATTAGAGTGGAGGAGTATGGTAAGGCGATATATGGAGGGGGCAGATATGAGGAGATACCAACCAATTGTATTTCTAATGTCCAAAAAAATCTGAAAGTAAAATATTTCCATCTGAGCAGTGAGATACTAATCAGATAGCGTCGGTGAGCCAGGATTGATCACGTGTCAGTGGAGGAGTCACATCTGATGGCGTGATTGGGGAATCATACTTGGGACAAGGAGAAATGACAAGATTTGTAAATAATACTTGGAGTAGAATAGTCTGACAACAGTGCTGGAAATTCTCCAACCCCATTTCCTGGCAGTATCCCATCAGACACACACAGAATACACTCCTCGCCCTATTCCTTCACTCCTGGCCTATATCTCCCTATACAGGGACCCCTCCGTGAGCCCATATCCTGGCAGCCTCATTTTCCTTTTCTCTCTCTGGCTTTTTCTTCTAGTGCTGCCAAAATTTGAGGTTTTCTTTGAGGGGCCAACTCAGATTTATGCACTGGATAAAACCTTCCCACTCCAGGTGTGTGCCAGGTAAGGAGATTGCTTTGCAGGGAGGGAACTGCTAATCAATGGTCACAAACCAGCACCTCCCTTCCCTAAATCCATCAAAAGAATAAAATGAGGAAGGAGAAGAGTCAAATATTGAGCACCCTTCAGTTATCAAGAGATTTACTGGGTAGTGCAAGATCCAAGCTATTGTCTTCCTGGGGAATTTCTACAGGGAACTTCCCCTTGCTTAGAGACAAGGGCACCATTTATGGGATGCTCGGGGGGCAGTAGCCCCTCCTGAGTTTGAGCCTCCTGTATTTCATACTTGAGCTCTGCTTAAAGCTGCATGTCCTGGCTCCAGAGGCAGGTCTTAACTGAAACGGAGTTTGAGCTGCTTGCAGCTTTGCCTTTGGGGCAGGGAGTTTGTTATAAAAAGAGGGAGGCAGATGATTAAGAATAACTTGAAGGCTTGTTAGATCATCATGAAAACATTGCCAGGTATTCCACTTAAAAGGGTTGGGGGTAAGCGGGGGGAGAAGAGTAGGAATGAGTGTTGTGCTGCTGGGATTTGCATTTGGACCACTGCTGTGAAACTTACAAATGTTCTTGAAAAAGGGGTGAACAGAGACTAATCCAAAACTGATTGCAGAGAGCTACAAATTGATTTCACAAAACTGGGTAATTGGGCAACACAAAGGAAGATGGAATTCAGTGGTAATAAGTGCAAATATAATCCTGACTATAGATACAAAATAGCTGTTACCACTCAAGAAAAAGATTTTGTAATCATTGTGGATAGTTCCCTGAAAACATCTGCTCAATGTGCGGCAGTCTAAAAACTAAAAAGCTAACAGAATATTGGGAATTGTTAAGAAAGGAATGCATAATAAGGAAAAATACCACATTGTCTCTATATAAAGTCATGGTATGCCCACATCTTGAATACTGTATGCAATTCTAGTCAATCAATCTAAAAAAGATATATTATATTTGGAAAAGGTGCAGCAAAGACAACAGTAATGATTAGGGGTAAGGAACAGCTTCCATATGAAGAGTGATTAACAAAACTAGGACTTTTCAGCTTGGAAAAGAAATGACTTAAGGGTGAGGGGGTATGTTAGAGGTCTAGAAAATCATGAACAGTGTGGAAAAATAGAATAAGGAAATGCTATTTATTCCTTCACTACTATAACACAAGAAGTTGACCCAATTAAATGTATAGGCATCAGATTTAAAACAAACAAATTATTTTTCTCACAGTCAATTTGTGGAACTCTTTGCCAGGAGACGGTGGAAAGGTCCAAACTAGGTTCCAATCAGAACAAAATAAGTTCAAGGAGTGTAGGTCTATCAATGGCTACTAGCCAGGATGGGCAGGGATGGTGTCCCTAGGCTCTGTTTGCCAGAAGCTGGGAATGGGCGATAGGGGACGGATCATGATGATGCCTCTTCTATTTATTCCTTCTGAAGCACCTGGCATTGGCCACTGCTGGAACTTGGAAGACAGGATACAGGCCTAGAAGGACCTTTGGTCTGACCCATTATGGCCTTTCTGATGTTCTTAGAGCTGAAATCTGTCCCCCTGCTGTAACCCACTAGACCCCACTCCCTTTCCAGAGCTGAGATAGAGCCCAGGAGTCCTGACAGTCTGTCTCTCTCTTCCCAGAGTTAGTAACAAAGTAAGAATAGACATTAAATGTTAAGGCTAACTAGTGTCCCTTAAGTGACTTGCCACAAGATGCTAGAATATGTTAGTGTTAGAGCTGAGTATTTAATAGTTATTTAATTTTCTTTCTTTTATATGAGTCAGATACAGTGCTCCTGTCAGCTAACTGCTAAGTTGTCTGCCGAAAAAGTAGAGTTTTCCAGTATCTTGGTAGCCCCTGGATAGAGATGATGTGTGTGGGGGCGGGGCAGGGCCGGGGGGAGAGTGGATGACGTTGGTTCCTCCCCTTCCCCATTTGGTGCATGGTTTGTACTGAGCATGCTCAGTAACACGGCTAAAGCCTCTGTCCTTAGAGCCCCCGTCCCATGCTTTCACTCCCTCCCCCCACATCATGGCATGCAAAGGCCGTTCTCCCCCGCCCCCAAATGAGGAATGGCACCCCTGTTCAGAGAAGGGAGCTCTGTGCTAGGCTGGAGACAGACACATGTCCATTGGAAAGAGCTGAGACAGGGTCTGGGTGAGGACATGCACCACCATGTCTGGGAAGAACACACCACTTTCATTGCTTAAATTCTGCTGACTGGGTTTGTTTCTCATGTGGCTCATGTGGGTTTCAGTGGCGTCATAGCTGTTAGCAATGGCTAAGGAGTATGACAGAGGGAGGACTGTGTTCTCCACTGCTGTATAGATGGTGTAAACTCCATGGAGAGTGACAGAATGTTCAGGGAGGCACTGAAGGTGGAGAGCCAAGAGCGAGGAGCTAAATTTCAGGCTGGATTATGGGGAAACATTCCTGACACTGTGACAAGCCCCCTTCCCCGCCGAAAAGTGTGGAAGCTCCAACTCGAGTTATTTAAAGCCAAACTGGGAAAAGCCCCGAAAGAGAGACTGTCACCTGGGGATGATGGTACTGACCTCCCTCACAGTGGAGATTGGATGGTTTCATTTGTGAGTGTTTGGAACCCTCTGAAGGGAGGCAGCCATAGAGGAGCACAGTGTTCATGCCATCACACACACTACAGTACTTCTCTCTTTCCTTAGTGCTGCCTCCTGACTTTCTTTCCCTGCTGCCCTTCTCCTCACAGGTACCCCTATGGGAGAGCAGTACTGGGCACCGTCCAGGTGACCCTCTGCCAGAAAGCTTGGCTGAACAAGCGGCCTCCACGACATTTTGGCACCGATATCTGTGAAGAGTACAGTGGACAGGTGAGTTGCTTAGCCAGATGGGAGAGGGTAAGTGGGCAGAATGGGAGCAGCGTGGAGACAGAGGTGTCAAGGAAAGGAAGGAACAGGAGAGGGTAGCCGCATTGCCCATTCTGTAGCATGGACAATAGTTGTACAAAGCCTGCATGGTTCAGTGAGTCCTCCCTGTCTGCACAGCCCACCTCCCGGACACAGCTAATGCATGCACCCTCTCCATTTCCAGACCATCAGCAGGGGCTGCTTCTCCATGTCTGTGAGCATGACAGTCTTTAACCTCGCCTCCTACGAGTATGACAACAAGCTCAGCGCAGAGGCCTCCCTGGTGGAAGATGACACAGGTGAGCGAGATGCATGAGACGTGCGGGACCAGGTGGCACAGGAAAGGTACTGGGAGAGAAGGTATTTCCAGATCCGTCACACCAGTGTGGGGGAGGGGATCAGGAGCTCTTCATCCTTCTCTCTGTCCATTCCTTTCAGCGAGCCAGAGAGCATCCTGGGCTGCAGGGGTCCTGCAGAGACTTCAGCACTGGGGCAGTGTTGTTTCCCTGTGGGGTTGGGAGCTGCTGTGAGTTAGGGAAGGATTCAACAGAGGTGTGAGTGACAGCTCTGGGGACACACACTCGTCCGTCTCACTGTCTCTGAGGGGGACAGATGCCAGGCAGGAATTGTTTAGCAGGCTCCAAGAGGAGGATACAGGAATAATGAAATGAAATTGAACAAAGGCTGGAGGACCAGGGCCCATTCTCTAAGTGGAGTCATTTCCTGGTGCTCTCTAGCCCACACGCCTCACCCTTTCTCCCTTTCATTTAGGGGTGCAAGTCAACGCCTCCAGCCAATTCCTCATCTCCAGGACTGCTGTGACAGCCACGTTTGAGAGGCTGGATGATTACTACCTCCCTGGAGTCCCCTACAGAGGGAAGGTGATTCTCTTCCCCCTTTCCTTTGCCTAGTTTGCAAGTGAATTTAGTGGCTGATAAGTTGTGCTGGAGCCTATACCTGGTGGAGAGCTGACAAGATCTTTATTCCCACGATGCACATGCTGCCCTGCCTTCCCCATGACAGTAGGGCTTAGCCTGGCTTTAGATGTACTCCCACTAGGGTGATGTACTCCCACCAGTGATGTTCATTCATCCTCCTGTGGGGAACAGATCCTCTCATACAAGGTGTTCCTGTGCTGTCACTGCTCTCTACACTCTGCAGGAGTTGGGCATTTCCCCCTCCCCTCCACAGGTTTCAGGGGTCCACTGGGAACTGGACTGATCCCCACCAACTCTTTCCACACAGGCCACCGTGTCGCTGAGGGTGGACCATTTTTAACCACTCAACCTGGCTGATAAGAAAAAACTTGGCTTTCAAGGTAGAAAAGCTTAATAGCCCTTTTACAGGTCCAGACTAGGACCAGTGACCTAGAGATGAAAAAAGCCAGCTTCAGTTCCTCTGAGCCAGCCAGTGCCTTGGCTCTGGTGCTAGATTGGAATCAATACTCTGGAGGGGCATTTGAAATGGTGAGCAGGACACCAAAGCAGAGAGGAGATCTCAGTTTTTATGTCTCTCTGTTGTACAATCAGATTAAGCTACAGGACCATCGTGGGGATATTATGAAAAGCACAAAAGTTCACCTCGTGATAAGCTATATGGGACGATGGTTTAACAAAACATACATCACAGATGGCACTGGGAGAGCTTCATTCAACCTGGCCACAACGGCCTGGAATAGCTCCTTGGTCTCTTTGGAGGTAAGTCCAGAAGATTCAGCACTTGTGTTCGTGAACATGATGACATTGAACCAAATAGCCCTGCCAACACCTCTGAATCCTGCTCTGCAGCCCCCTGCTATTGCAGCCCTGGACTCCCCTCACAGCCCTGCCAGTGCCCCTCAGCCCTGCCCTGCAGCTCCGTGTTATTTCAGCCCTGGGCTCCCCACACAGCCCTGCCAGTGCAGTTAGTGGGAATAGCATTTCCCAAGAGAAGTGGTGGAAGACCTTTCTCTTCAGACATTTGTAGCTGGGGAAGAACGAAGCCCTCGAACACAGACTGCCTTGGTGTGGGTTGGGGGGAATGAGATAAAATGTGACTCTACAGGTCGTCATTTGTAATTTCTCTGTGTCTTGGACCTTATCCTAGGGAAGATTCAAACTGGCGGAGCCAAAGCAGGAACCTGGGAAGATCAATGTTGATTATGTGAACGCTTACCAGAACTTGCAGCCCTTTTATGTCACAGCCAAGAGCTTCCTGAAGATTCACCCGCCACCAGGAACACTGCTCTGTGGGCTGCAGCAGAATGTCCAGGTTACATTTGCCCTTAGCCGGAAAGACCTGGGGGAAAGAGCCAGCCGCATGGATTTCACTTACTATGTGAGTCATTGTAAAGGGATAATCATGGATGGGAGAGGGAAGAGCAGCTCACATTGGGATGGGCTGCCAAGCTGAAGCCTGCAGGGAAATGCTGTAGCCACCACTGAATTTGGCACTGAGGGAAGCGCCAGATGAAGGGGCATGTGGAGACCTCTGAGTGCAATCTGTGGAATGACAGTTCAGGCTTCTCCATACCATGACTCTCAGCTGGGGGCACTTCTATGGGTGAGAGAGGTGCTGAGTCTGTGTGGCGTGTTCCTTCCTTGGCCTCTGCTGAGAATGGGCCATTCAGCATCAGTGGGGATGGTGAGTTTTGTGATGTGCACACGTTTCTCACCAGGAACTGGACTAAGAACCTCTCCTTCCTTTTGACGGGCTGCCAAACAGCCCCCCAGGGGGAATAACTTCCAGTCAGAATTCATGTTGGCTCGATTAGAGTCTGTTCTCTGGAGGTGAAAGACCCCATCTCCCACACCCTGATCCTTCAACACACTGACTATCCAGCTGTTGCCTCTGACCCAGGTAACCTCTCATAACTAGTTCCCTTGGGGTGAACGAGTCCTCATCCCAATCCCCTACCTCCCTGAATCAGGCAACATCCTAAAGAAGAAAAGACCCTTATCTTAGACCTCAGCTCCCTCAGTCTGTGTGCGATACTTGGGTGCATGGGTGCAGGTGCATTCTGGGGATAACAACATGCAGGTTTATCTAGTTTTCCTCCTCCCTCAGGTCACTGGGAAAGCCGGGATTGTCGCCAGGGGCCAGAAGAACATACGGGTTGGGAAACTGAGCAGTGAGTTCTGACACCTGGTACTACAGCTGATCTAGAGGGCGGAATAAATGCATGAAGGGCTTCTGGTGGGCCAATGGATGTTTCATCTCTGTTGGTTTGGAGTGACCTGGTTCCATGGCTGAGCTATACACATGGGAAATAGGAGAGTAGATGAGACAGAGGTGTGTGGGAAGAAAGCATATTGGCTGGGAGAAAAGAAACTGTGGATGGAATGATGGTGTGGGGAGGGAGGTGAAAAGGATCGAGAGAAGGATAAAGTGGAGAGGAGAACCTGGCAATGAGAGTGCAGGGATAGAGGGAGGTGCCCCAATAGTGCAATGATGGGTGCATTAGACATGCAGGGAGCCAGAAGGAGATCTTGGTGGAGTTGTGATGGAAACACTTTTTCTCTCTTTCCACCAAGCACTGAAAGGCTCCTTCTCCATCCCTCTGACTTTCACCTCCGACTTCACTCCTGCCCCTTCTTTAGTTGTGTATGCCATCTTTCCCAGCAAAGGGGTGGCAGCCGACAGCATCCGCTTGGATGTCGCCATGTGCTTCAAAAACCAGGTGAGACTTGCAACTGAAGGGGAAACTGGAGGTGGTACTGTGGAGAAAGAGCCAGGAGGGACTGGTGCGCCTTGGGCCCCAGAGCCTTCAGAGGGAAGAAAACAGGTGCCAGTGTAACCCACTTACCTCCTAGGTGTGCTGCACTGTCCCATCTAGGGGCACCGAGACCACTTTCAGAGAGACTAATGAGTCTGCTCTACGGCCTTAGCTCATGCAGTGGAGGCTCACACACTAAGCTCCAGGGAGTCCACGTTCGATTCCACCTGCAGATGACTAGGATCTGCTGGCACTACACGAGCATTGCAGTGCTGTATATGCACATACATGCAATGTGATGGGGACTAATTTAGCTACAACTACTCAAGAGAGAGATCTTGGAATCATTGTGGATAGTTCCCTGAGAACATCCACTCAGTGTGCAGCAGCAGTCAAAAAAGTAAATAGAATGTTAGGAGTCATTAAAAAAGGAATAGAGAGTAAAACAGAGAATCTCTTATTGCCTCTGTATAAATCCATGGTTATGCCCACATCTTGAATTCTGAGTTCAGATGGGGTTGCCTCATCTCAAGAAAGATGTCTTGGCATTGGAAAAGGTTCAGAAAAGGGCAACAAAAATGATCAGGGGTTTGGAAAAGGTGCCATATGAAGAGAGATTAAAAAGAGTTGGACTATTCAGCTTAGAAAAGAGGAGACTAAAAGGTCTATAAAATCATGATTAGTGTGGAAAAAGTGAATAAGGAAAAAATATGTACTTGTTCTCATAACATAAGCATTAGGGGTCACCAAATGAAATGAATAAGCAGCAGGTTTAAAACAAACAAATGGAAGTTTTTCTTCACATGGCGCACAATCAACCTTTGGAACTCCTTGCCAGAGGATGTTGTGTAAACTAGGACTTTAACAGAGTTCAAAAAAGAGCTAGATAGATTCATGGAGGTTCAGTCCATCAATTGCTATTACCCAGGATGGTAGGAATGGTGTCCCTAGCCTCTGTTTGTCTGGAAATGGATGACAGAAGAGGGATCATGTGATGATTACCGGTTGTGTCCACTCCATCTGGGGGCACCTGGCATTGGCCACTGTTGGCAGACAGGATACTGGGTTAGATGGACCTTTGGTTTGACCCAGTACAGCTGTTCTTATGCCCTGCGACTTACCACTCCTTTGCCTGTTCCTGTGATCTCTTGCCTCTTTGGGGGCCACAAAATCTGCTTCAAAGAGAGCCCATGAAATCTGAGGGGGAAGAGGCCTTTGTGGGATCGTGTGAAGTGTGTGTCAGCTACTATCTTGGTACATGGACCAGTGCTCTGCTCTCTGTGCCTAGTTTTGGGCAGAGTTAGCAGAGCAAAGGTCTGGGTGATCTGCTCTGGCAAGGCTCAGCCACTATGTCTTCCCCACAGGAACACTGGGTGGGGCTGCAAGAGCCACTGGCCATACTGCCAGCCGGCCCAGGGGCACAGAGAGTGAGTGAGCAGAGGAAAGAGCTGGATGGAATGTTTGCCATTTGCGAGTGGGGAGAGAACAAGGAGGGGTGGGAAGTCCCACAGAGGTAACTTCTCTTTTCCTCTCCCACTCTGGCTTGCTTTCCCCATGTGCTGGTCAAGGTGAAGATGGGCTTCTCAGCTAAAGAAGCCCTCCCAGGATCGACAGTCCAGCTCCAGCTTCAGGCAGCCTCAGGCTCGTTGTGTGCAGTGCGGGCAGTGGCCAAGAGCATGCTCCTTGTGAGGCCAGAGAGAGAGCTGACCAACCAAACTGTGAGTGTCTGGCTCTCTGTCCCTCTGAGTCATGGGCACCAAGGACCAGGGATAGACAGGAGACATAAAGCGGGAGCGACTTGTGAATCTGCTGGGGTGAAGGGTGAATGGAGGTTTCTATGCCAGAAAGGGGCAAATGTGGGATGTTTTGTCTCTGGAATGGTGTGAGGGTGATAGACACCTGCTTCTCCTTGCCTGATTCTTTCCCTTCTGTTTGTTTCCCTAGGTCTATGAGTTATTCCCTTTCATCCACCGCCATGGGTACCCCTACCAAGTTGAGGAATACCCAGATCAATGCATGCAACATCATCTTTTATTACCACTGGTGTCGTGGAGGCCTTCGTATCCTTACCAACGGGATGTCTTTAACCTCTTCAGGGTAATTGCCTCTGACCCTTTCCCTGGACTTGTGTGGAAAGGACATGGGGGAAACACATGTGATTGGGAAAGTGCTTTCCCTCAAGAGCTCTACCCTACAGGCTAGTCACCTCTGCTTTGCCCATCTGAGCTCTAGTGCCCCCCATGCGGTGTGGAGCCCACCTCATCCCTTGGGGAGACTGCCACGGGCTCCTAGAATTCAGCATTACAGAATGCTCCATTTGTCTAGCTCATTTCCCCTGGAGAGCAGTCTTACCCCGCCCTACTCCTCCCCACCCAGTAGTGAGGCAGTGAGACTCCCTGGCTGGGCTAGAGGAGGCGAGGTGGGTGCCTCAGATCAGTGGCACAACAGGACAGCGCCCCTTGGAAGCGCAACTCATTGAGCAGGCGACTGGAGCCACTGGGCATTCAATGGCCACTCAGAGTCTCTTTGGGTATGTCTACACTACCCCGCTAGTTCGAACTACCGTTACTCCTCGTGAAATGAGGAGTAACGGTAGTTCGAACTAGGAAGCCTAGTTCGAACTACCTAGTTCGTGCCCCGTGTAGCCGCGCTGCACGGGGTTCGAACCAGCGGGGTTTTAAAAATGGCGGCTCCCCGCTTATGCAAATGAAGCCCGGGAAATTCAAATCCCGGGCTTCATTTGCAAGTGCGGTATGCCTACATTACCCCGTTAGTTCGAACTAGGAGGGTAGTGTAGACATACCCTTTGACTCCCCCTCTTCATTAGGGCACTGGGATGGAGGCTTCAGTCCATGCCTGGGGTTGCGACTCAGGTGGGGCTTTGTCACAGTGGGCGGGGCTGAGCCATACTCCTACATGGCCATGCCGGGGGATCACGGGCAATGAGGCTCAGCCCTCTGAGCGGCCACAAAGGAGCCACCCCACCACAGCAGGGATGGGCCACTCCTTCCCAGGGTGTGGGGATGGAGGGGACAGGCAGTGACGCTGCCACTGGGGAAGAGAGCTGCACCTCGAGCAAGGGGGGAACTGGAGTCTCAATCACATCCCACCCCAGGGCAAAGCAGCTCCAAATGGCCCCAGAGCCAGGCTGGTCCCTGGGCCCAGATCAGATCCCTGTGACTGGTGAATCTGGCCCAGCCACTGCTCTCCCGCCCCAGCACTCTTTTAATCCGTAACAGAGCATGGGCCTGAAAGTGTTTTCCAACCTCCTGATAAAGAAGCCGATTGAGTGCTATTATCCCATGGACAAGATGCCGACAGCACCCCCACTGAGGCCCATTGGCATTCTGGGTAAGTGGGCCCAGATCAGATCCCTGTGACTGGTGAATCTGGCCCAGCCACTGCTCTCCCGCCCCAGCACTCTTTTAATCCGTAACAGAGCATGGGCCTGAAAGTGTTTTCCAACCTCCTGATAAAGAAGCCGATTGAGTGCTATTATCCCATGGACAAGATGCCGACAGCACCCCCACTGAGGCCCATTGGCATTCTGGGTAAGCTTTATCCAGGTGAGATACAGGACATCTGAACACTGCCCCCCTCCTCCCACCGAGCTCTGCTGACTGGGTGTCCCTGCCTCTGCATGTTTCCACATGCCCTCTGTTGTGCATGTGAGACACAGTGGTAAAGCCCTGGGGACACTTCAGCAGCCTTTGGACCAGGCACACAATTCGAGCACTGTGAGCTGCCAATGGCAGGAGAGCAGTGAGGTGACCAGCCATGCACTGAGGCAGTGGGGCCCACCAGAGGATCACCCTGCATTTGCAGTTCTCCCAGCATGAAGGGAGGAAAGCCCAGCCCCACCAACAGTGCCCTGGGGCTGACGGGTAGGCATAGCATGAGCAAGGCACCCTGTGAAGGCCCCCCCCCTTTCTCTCCTTTTCCAAGGCCCTAGCCTCCCTAGACAGTGCTGCTTTCCTTTCCCCCAGTTTCCCTCAGGAGCTCCCATCACCTCTGCCCAGGCCCAAGTGAATCCTCTGCCAGGCCCTTCTTCCCAGCCTAGCTGCCAGCCATCTCCCACTGTGCCCCATGCTGGGAATACCCCTGGTCCCTAATGCCAGCAGCTCCTACTTGTCAGTGAGGGGCAGGGCTCCTTCTCACCTTTGGCAGTGCCAAGTAACAGGCCACACAATCCCTTTGGAGGCATTGCACAGAGACTAATGGAGGATCGATCTCCAGAACCAAACATGACTTAATCCTGAATCTTCCATCTCCGGCGCCAGACTAGCCCTTCGCTCACAGGCTGTCTACCCTGGCCCAACCCTTCTGCCAGCTGAATCTGCCATCCCCGTGTTGGACAGTTCTGACAGGGAATTTATATTCTTTGTTTCAGAGGCTCCTCGAGAACCCACTACTCCAGGGAGAGTTCACCAGTATTTCCCTGAAACCTGGCTTTGGGATTTGATCTCTGTTGGGTAGGTATTGTCAGATGGAGGAATGCCATGTCAGAGAGGGGGGGAACTGTCCTATCGTGTTAAACCTTAGAGATTTCTCCCCAGAGTTTGCATTCATGGCCAGACCTAAGAATTCTAAAATTCCTAAATGGAAAAGATTTACCAGTCAGTCCACTGGCCCAACCAATTCCAACTTGTTCTTACAACACATTCTCCAAGGCTGTGTCTAGTCCTGGTTGATGGTATGTCAAGCAATGGAGGTTTCACTACTCCATTTGGGAGGTTTTCTCCCAGCCAGTAGATCTTTAAGTTAGGGAATATTTCCTGATCTGCATCCAGAATCTCTTGCTTTGCTCGGTTTCTATCCCATTTCCTCCTATATTATCTGTCTATAGCCTTCTGTACTTACCTGGTTTTTACATCCTTCCAAGATCACAGTCAGTTGTCTTTAGCCAAGCAAGACACATTTAATTCCTTGCTCCCTGCTCATAGTCATCACGACAGATCCCTTCTCTCCACATACCAGCTGTAGCTTAAGAGCTTCTGTTGACTCTTGAGGGCAGATTTAAGCTGACACCAAACACCTATTTTTGTCCCTTTCAAACAGTGGGCTTTCTGTACATGTGCCACATGATTAGACTCGCTGCAGAGGAAGAAAAAGGACAAACTCCCAAGATCCTTATGGAGAAGGCCTAATTTCCCCCCACATGGCTTTGAATTCTGTAGCTGAATCCTGTCTTTGTAATGCGCCAAACCAAAATCCAGCTCTGAAACTTGGGGAGCAGGGCTCAGATCTCACCACCCTTAGCACTGCTTTTGATTCAAACAGCCCTGCTCAGTGGGCATCCGCTACTTGGCTCAACATCAAGTTCTCAACTCCAGCTCGGTCCAAAATGTGGCTCCCATTGCTAATACATCTGGGTTCTGGAGTGTACCAGGAAAGCTTTCTAACAATGAGGGGCTGCTGGTGTAATGCAGAGTCTCCCCAAGGGAGGCAAGGGAAGTGTCATCACTGAGGACATTTAAAATGAGCCTTGGCCAAAGTCTTGGAGAAAAGACAGTAGGGAACTGCCCTAGGTCCTTGGCAGTTGGACCAAATAAGGCCCACTATTAGGTCTCTCTCTCTCTTTCCACCTCTTTTTCATTCCTAAGGAGGGCTAATAGTGATGGGCTAAAGCCTTGTCCTAAAACTAGGGTTACGGGATTAGGATTGTGACTGCACACACTAATCCTGGGACCCCGGTTTTCCTTTTGCTCCCATGTGGGTGGTGGGTTAACAGTTTTATGTGATGGCTCTCCCCCTTTCAGTCCCACTGGAAACAGGAGCATTCCAGTGACGGTGCCTGACGCCATCACTGAGTGGAAAGCCGGGATGTTCTGCGTGGCCAGGCTGGGCTCTGGACTTGCCCCCACCACGAGCCTTGTGACATTCCAGCCCTTCTTTGTGGATGTGATGCTACCGCACTCTGTGGTCCAGGGAGAGACCTTCATCCTGAAGGCCACCATCTTCAACTACCTCCGGCAGTGCATACAGGTGTGTACCCTCCCACTCCACGTGGCAGTACACCTGATGGAGCAGTCCCTGCCAGACCCAGCTGCCGTACTTCCCCAAGCTGTGCTGATCACTTACACGTCTCTCTCACTCCTTTAGATACAAGTGACCCTGGCTAAATCCCCAGACTTCTGGGTGGAGCTGTGCAGGAGCTGCAGCTACAGCCACTGCCTGTGTGCAGAAGAATCCAGAACCTTCACATGGGTTGTGACAGCCACAACACTGGGTAAGGCAGGGAGCATGGTGGAGGGGCAGGTAAGTCCATCACCATTGGACTGTGATGAAGAGTGGCTGGATGGCACACAAAGATTGGAGCGTGTTATATGGAGCTTTTCACATCTGGGTCCCCACTTGGCTCTGACAGGGTGAAAGTAACTTAAATATCTTCCAAGTAGTGTCCTATCACAACCCATCCCATGTGGAGGGGCTTAGAGTAGGGAGGGGGTTGCAATACAACAACACCTGTAAAACATTTAAGTGTGGGGTGAAGTACAGGGGCCTCAGGGCAGAGGATTGGGGTGTGGGGGGGTGCAGGAGTTAGAGCAGGGCGCTGGGGGCAAGGGAGGTGCCGGAGGCAGGACTGGGATATATGATGTGTTCAGGGCAGGAGGCTGGAGAGTGCAGAAGTCAGGATAGGGGCTTGGGAGTGTGTAGGGGCTCAGAGCAGGGAGATCTGGGGTACACACTTCAGTGCAGGGGGCTGGATGTGTGTAGGGGTGAGTATGGGGAGCAAGGGTGCCATTTTGGAGAGGGGGAGCTGCAGCTGCACATGGCGGGTCCACGTGTGTTGCTTTTCCTGCTTCCTGTGACTAGCAAGTGAGGGGAAAGTGCAGAGCCAGTTGCATTCCTCTCGCTCCTATCTGCCCAGGGGAGGGGCAGAGGAGGAACCAGCATGGTCTGCATTTTCCCCTTGCTCCCTAATCACAGAGAAGGAAAAGCAACAGGGAGCTGGTCTGTGCATCTGCAGCTCCCCAGCCATCCCAAAAATGATGGTGAAAGGAAGGGGGCTCAGGGCTGGGGCAGTGTCTGGGGTGGGGGGGTCTGGGGAAAGTCCCCAGTCAGCCCCTCTAACCTGCCTGGCTGCCTGCTGCTGAACACAGCAGTTTTCAGGAAGCTTGGAGCAAGTCTGGGAGTACCCCACCCCTCTCACTGCAGCCAAGTGCCTCAGCTGACTGGCCAGCTTCTTGCCAGAGCGCCGCACCGGGGTGCACTGGCTTCCACCTCTGGTTCTGAGTCCATCTCCTAGTGGGACAAGATGTAGAGACACTCTCACTCTTGACACTGATTGCCTCTCCCATCCATTGACAGTCTCAGCACAGAGACCAGTGACTAGGTGGACGGGATTTGGAGACCGACAGGGTGGGGCAGAATTGTATTGGCTGAGGGCAGAAGGAGGCCCACTGGCACATGTGGGAAGTGTGCATTGCTGCAGCCTGTCAAAAGTGAGGATCTTGTTCCCAAGGGGCTGCTGAGTCTGTCCCTTCCACAGCATTAAAATGCACTTGCCATTCACAGTGTGTATGTCTACACTAGCCCCCTAGTTTGAATTAGGGAGGCTAAAGAGGGCGACCGAAATTGCAAATGAAGCGTGGGATTTAAATATCCCGCTCTTCATTAGCATGTTCCCAGGCGGTCGCCATTTTGGAAATTGACTAGCCCAGAAGAACTGCCCACGTCTACATGCGGCAGAGAAGGGCGATTCCGAAATAAACGCCTTACTTCGAATTACCAGTTAAACCTCATTCCAGGAGGGATATTTAAATACAGTGCTTCATTTCGGTCGCCCTCATTAGCCTCCCTAGATCGAACTAGGGGGCTAGTGTAGACATACCCAGTGATATTCTTTATGGGCCAAAATCACTTCTGGGGTAGCATCACTGAGTCACTTACACCAGGGATCAGAGATCCTGACTAGCCAGCTAGGTCAGCTGGCAATAGGCCAATCAGGCCATTCAGCCTGTCAGGACCAGCTGGACCTGCCAGCCCCCATTTGCTCAGTATTGCAAAATGTCAGCTGGAGCGCATGGCCTTGGCCTGGCACTGGGTGTGAAATCAACACGGTTCAATTTGATTGACAGGGATGGTGAATGTTACGGTCAGCACAGTGGTGATGGACCACATGCCCCAATGTGGGGGCAGGAAAACCTTCCCCCCAGCAATGCCATGGAAGGATACACTGATCAAACCCCTGCTCGTCCGGGTCAGTATGAGGCCAGGCTTTGCTCTGTCCCTTATGATTTGGGATTGTGGTTCGCCCCATCTCCCTAGTTGAAGGAGTGGGGAGTGTTTGGAGAACAAAATTCTCATTCTGTGCCAGTAGCTGGAGCCGGCATCCCAAAGACTTTGTGCCAGTCATTGCCCTCCTTTGTGCTCTTCTGACCCTCCTGTCTATTCCCTCCTCTCTGCACCTGTCTACGCTCTCCCCCACTCTGGCACTTTGAATGCAGAAGAGACCTTAATACACCCTGCCACTAAAGGCTTCTGCTTAAAAGCTCCCAAGGTCACAGATTTCCTGACCTAGGGTGGTACGCTGTCATCACCCAATGCAAAACACCCTTGGGAGCCCAGGAATATGCTCTTGGTAATTTCTCCCTGCGGGGTATCCCCAAGATCTTTAACCCTTCCTCAGGGGAGACCTTGAAAACAAATTGATTTCTTACTTGCTGACCTTCAGTCCCAGGCATGTGCACACAGAACCTGCTGCCTTCTAGGACACTGGAATCACATTGTAGTCTTAAAAAGGTGATTTAATTAATAAAACAAAGAAGGTATAATTGGTTAAAAAATCACTTGGCTGCTAGGTGTTACAGAACTACTATAAATGATTAAAGCACAGAGAACTGCTTACTTGAGATTCAGTTTCAATTACCGTGTATGGGGGGGGGGGGGAGGACACATGGGCACAGCACAGAGGAGTTTAACTGAACCCCAAAATAAAGAAAATAACCTGATCACGTCTAACTAAACAGTCTGTTTTATTCACATCTCTTGTTCCAAGGTTCAGTTTTTTCTAAACCTGACTGAAGCCCATGCCTGGTTCCCCAGGCTCACTTCACTTCTCCCCCAGCTCTTGCTCTGAACTCACACAAAAGTCTGAAGTGGGCAGAACCTGTTTTCCAATTCAGATCTCGCACTCTCTTCCCATTGGCTCTCCTGGCTCCCTGCCAACACCGCCTCGATACCCACTGCCTCTGGTTTAACCCTCTCTAGGCAATATAGCTAACTGAATGGCTGGATGTCTAGAAAGGGCAGTGCCCCTCTGACCCATCACAGCACCATGTCCAGTGCTGCCTGCCCACCATGCTCATGTTCCCTTCTGTGCTCTTCTTGCCTCCGTTCCCACCAGATGCCCACTCAAGCGTGTGGTCACAGACCAGGGTGACGCCTCACTCCAGGTTTGATTCTCCTGCTCCCTTGATCTGACCGTGACTGAGACACGGGGATCCCTGTCATGGCTGGCTCTGGGTCAGCCCTGTGGGGATAAAAGGAGAGAGACCCCAGCCTGAAGCTAATGGGAGCAAAGCTCCTGACAGCTTAGGCACAGCCGCTGGAGACCAGAAATCACACATGGATTTTGCTGCTGTTTGTAACCCTGTTTGTCTCCTCCTATGCCCCGGTCTCTGCCCCGCAGCCGGAGGGAGTGCTCGTGGAGAAGGCTCATAGCTGCCTGCTGTGCCCTAGAAGAGGTAAGTGGGCTGTGCTGGCCTGGTCCCTGCTTTTGCTGGGGAAGGGAGGGAGGTGGCAGATAAAGCAAAGACACAGTTCTCAGTACAGGAAAAGACCAAAATAATCCCTCCCATTCCAGCGTCTCTACCACCGACACTGGGGAGAAAGCTCCCACTGCTGAGCCACCTGGATCCGCCCACTTCCCTTTAGCACAGCACCCCTGCCACCAAACTAGGACACTCAGACGGCAGACCACCCTCCCCACCCTGCGGAGTCTCCCATGCCCCTCCTTGCGGCACTCTCAGTCTTTCCCAGGAAGATGCCCAGCCAAGTGGTGACCATGCTTGAATCTATATTCTTGGGGCTTAGGGGTATTGGCTTTCATATTCTGATGCCATCTCCATAGTAATTCTCCCAGTGACCTGTAAAGAGTTAACACAGGATCTACAACCACTGCTTTAAAGGGCAGGGCTGGCCTTACCATGAGGCCAACTGAGGCGGCTGCCTCAGGTGCCAGACTGTGGGGGAGGGGCACCACTAGGACCCAGAGTGTAGAAAATTGTGTCTGCTGCTGTTAGTTCTCCTTTATTGGGGTAGGCAGCAGAGCAGTCCCACGAGAGGAGTAGAACAGGAAGAAGGCAGAATTGAGACCTTGCAAAGTTTTGACCCCAGCGAAAGAGTATGGGGGCGTCATTTGAGCTCCCCGCCTCAGGTGCCAAAATGTTGTGGGCCGGCCCTGTTAAAGGGATCATAACAAGTGGCTAAGGGCTGTTGTGAGGGATCAGAGGGAATAACTGGGGATCGCTCGTGCGGACGAGCGACGGGAAATACGTTAGACAGGCTAACAGCACTGCTGGGAGAGTCTTCTCCAAAGGAGTGCTGGAAGCTCCATCACTGGGGAATTTTTAAAACTGGGACTAGCTAGAGCCCTGGAGCATGGACCATCGGCGCCAATCCTTCACTGGCCAGGATGATGGGGGGCGGGAGGGGGATTTAAGGTGTGAATATCTCTGATTTATTGCCTACCCTCTTGTCTGGCTTCATACAGCTTGATTTCTAATGCGATTTCTTGAACATGTGCTCATCAGGAAATACAGTCAAAGATCCAGTGTCCCTCACCCTCCCTGCTAATGTAATGAAAGGATCAGCCAGAGCTACCATCTCTGTCTTGGGTAAGTTGCCCCAGTTTGTGAGCTCACTGATACCTGTTACAGACCAACAGGGGCCGAGAGCTAGACAGTTGTGTCCCATTAGTGACAGGCAAACCTTAAGAGATTGGATGCTTGTTTACTAGTGAATCTCTGCAAGATGTTACAAGCAGGGTTGTTTCAGAAATTCTCGACTGGCTCTCTGGCTTTGCAGGGGAAGGCAGAGGCCTGGTGGAGAAAAGACTGGTCTTGGCTGCAATGAAGAGAAAGGGGAGTCTGCTGAACACTGCCTGGCCCTGAGATTCTCTCTGGGTCTGACTTGTGGATTCATTCATAGAGTGTGCTTCCTAACACCCCAATACAGGGCTGCCACCAGGCTTGGCCTGGCAGAGACAGTCATGCCCAGGGCTTCTCACTGCACTGCAAGGGTGTGTCTCCACAGCAGGGCTCCACTCGAAACAAGCTACACATGTTGAGCTACATCAATTGCCTATCTTATTTCAAAATAGTGTATTTCGACATTGGGAGCGTCCACACAGCACGTATTCTGAAATAGAGCCCTCTTCCTCCGACTTCCCTTCCTCCTCCAACAATAAGAGTTACAGGAGTGGGAGTGAGAAGTCCTCCAGCTTGACAGTATTTCAACATTATTTCAAAATAACTGCCTGCTGTCTAGATGTGGACTAAGTTATTTCAAAATAACATTAGTCAGTTTGAAATAATGTTGCTGTATAGAGGTACCCCAAGTGACTTAGGCCCCTGGGGTATGACAGAGAGCAAGGCTTTTCCTCCTTTGATTTCCAGCATTTTCCACACCCAGTCAGGTGAGAACAGCTACCATCCTGCTTGCATGTCAGTGCTTCTGAGCTGGCTAGATAAAACATAAAGGCAACTACAGTGATGAAACAGAATGATCGAAAAGGGTGTGACAAGGAGGAGAGAGATAAAAATGTTCTCCTTGACCTCTGCTGATAGGACAAGAAGCAATGGGTTTAAGTTGCAGAGGGGGAGGTTTAGGTTGGACATTAGGAAAAACTCCCTAACTGGCAGGGTGATTAAACACTGGAATAAGTTGCCTAGGGAGGTTGTGGAATCTCCATCACTGGAGATATTTAAGAGCAGGTTGGATAGACATCTATCAGAGATGATCTAGATGGTGCTTGGTCCTGCCATGACGGCAGGGGACTGGACTTTATCTCTTGATGTCCCTTCCAGTTCTAGTGCTCTATGATTCCATGACATCCTGGCTGCCACATACCTGCTAACACTATCCACGTGCCTTACGGACCAATAAAATCTCAATAAAGTCCTGCAAGAGCACCTCTGTGTAACATGGTCAGCTGTCAGAATAGCCAGAGAAACAGCCCTTTGGGTTCTCTTTGGGTCCTGCAGAGAGGCCAGGGGACTGGACTCGATGACCTCTTGAGGTCTCTTCCAGTTGTAGTGTTCTAGGATTCTTACAAGAAGGGCCATTGTAATTAGAGTTCAGTTCAGGTTTTTTAACTGGAGGACGGAGGCAAAGGGTTCTAGTCAGTTTGCACTGCAGCCAAACTGTTTCCACCATGTGTTGTTTCCCCCAGTTAGACATTCACCAGGCCCCCATCACATCCCATGAATCCCCCTCCTGCATGCTTCCCCTACCCCCAGCTGTATCACTCACCCTAGTAATTGGAGACTGAACTGTCAGATACGGACTTAGCACCTCAGGCTGTTTTGAATGCATTTAAGATTGCACTGAAGGTTCTTTGTTCCTCTCCCCTGGCAGGTGACATCATGGGGACGGCGCTGCAGAACCTGGACCAGCTGGTGCAGATGCCCAGTGGCTGCGGGGAGCAGAACATGGGGCTGTTTGCCCCCATCATCTACGTGCGGCAGTATCTGGAACAGACAGGGCCGCTGAGTGAGGAGATCAGGGAGAGGGCGACAGGATTCCTGCGCAGCGGCAAGTACCCTGAGCCAGCTCTACTAGCGTCCAGCCTGGCACCTGCCCCATTACTCCTGCATCTCCTGTCATGACTGGCCTCCTCCCTGGCACTGCTGTGCAGTACATGAGTTTTCTTTCTCCTCTCCCCAGGGTACCAGAGGCAGCTCCTGTACAAGCACAGTAATGGCGCTTACAGTGCCTTTGGGGAGCACGACAGAGAGGGGAACACCTGGTAAGAGCTGCTTCCTTCCCTTGGGTCTGCTGCTCAGCCTGAACAGAGATGCCTATTACTCCATCTGGCACACATGCCTTTACTGGCAGTGGTGACTCTAAGAAAGCTCTAGTGTGAGCAGATCAGATAGGAGTTGGCAGTGTGATATAGCTGCTAGAGGGCAGCATGGGTTTGGGAGGCAAACACAGATAACACATCACTATGTGTGTGCATGTGTGGGGAAGCCAGTGACCCTTTGAAGCTCTGGGCATCCTGGGGCAGCAAGCTATTGACAGACTGGTGAGAGCTCGGAAAAGAGAAACCAAAATGATCGGGTGAGTGGAGGAGAAATGGAAATTGCTGAATCTGTGTGGCTTGGCTCTGTGATGCCATAGTCACCTCCCATCCCCCTTCCACCACTACCAACAGCTGCAAGAAAGACATGAACAAGGAGGAAGAGGGGTTTGTTGTTGGAGGCAGGGCGAGCTACCTGGCGTAATGGGGTGGAACTAAAAAAGGGGGACTATAGACCAAAGATTAGGAAATCACCCTGGTAGCGAGACGTGGGAACTGATTCCCAGGACAGGAGAGCAAGGCCCATCACATCGGGTTTTCAGACTCGTCTGGACAAAGCACCAGAAGGTGTGCTGCAGGGAGGCAGAACTGGACCAACTTGATTGGATGGGCCCAGATAGGAAACCTCCACCTCTCACTTTCAAGAGAATCAGCTGGGCCAAAGTCATTCTTGGAGTGATGTTGCTGAGTTCAATGGGCTTATGCCTGGAAGGAATGTAACCCCTGTCTCCCCCCACCCCTCTTCCTAGGCTAACGGCATTTGTAGTTAAGAGTTTTGCACAAGCCCAAAAATACATCTTCATCGATGACAAGATCATTCACGCCGCTCTGAAATGGCTGCAGCTTCACCAGCTCCCCAGCGGCTGCTTCACCAACAAAGGGAGGCTCTTCCACTCTTCCATGAAGGTAAATAGCAGCCAAGCCAGCCACGAGGGCTGGGGCACTGAGCACACATGGGCAGACACTGTGACTGCAAATGGTTGTGGTGGCCACTGAGAATCCTGGGGGATCAGCACTGGGATTCCTCTCATCAGCCCTCTAGGGAGCAGGGTCTGGAATAGACCCTTAGGGTTCTCCCAAGGGACACATCTGAAAGTCACCTCCCTGACCCTAAAAACCTCTTTAAATAGGAGACTGGGTCTTAGCTAAGTGCCTGGGCTCTCCACAGGGGACACACCCATTGGAGTGATGTTTGATTACCAACCCGTGCTGTGTGCCCACTCTGTGCCAGACGTTCCCAGCTCTGTGTGTGCTTGTGCTTCCCGCAGGGCGGCATGAATGATGAGATCTCTCTGGGGGCCTACCTCACGGCCGCACTCCTAGAGATGGGGCAGCCACTGAAGGTGAGCACGTCCACCTTGTTCCCTTTCCTCCTGGATGGCCCTGGTTGGGCGCTGCTGTCCGGACGCTGCTTGGGCTGGAATCCCTCTGCCCAGGCAACGACAGGTCACTGCTTTCAAGATGCTCACACTGCTGCAGTCAAGATGGCAGGGCTCTGAGAGCGTTCCGCTGCTGGGACTCCACACGACTGGCACGGTGTGACAGAGCGGTGGGGCTTAGTAATGCAGGAACCCTGGTGCGTCTCCAGGGCTGGCACACTGTAGAGCTGTGGCAGTGCAGCCTTCAAGTCCAGTCGGGGGGCAGAGTCTGCTCCCTGTTGCACAAGAGGAGCTGGAGTAACCCTGCTGGCTTTCGGGGTACACCCGCCCTGTGGTGATCTGAGGCCCATAGTGTTGCTGTGACGTTGCAATTTCTGTACCAAAGCAGTCCCAAGGGGCCTCATTCACCCCTTGTGTAAGCCCACTGAAGTTAGTGGAATTGCCCCAGGTTTGGGCAGGGCCCTTGCTGGCCTGCAGCTAAAAGGATACCCGCTGTCTGACACATGAGCTCTGTGTGTGCCTCTTCTCCTGACACAGGGCAGCACAGTGCAGGCCGCCTTGCGTTGCCTCCTTCACACCGTTCACAATGTCACCAACGTTTACACGGAAGCCGTGCTGGCCTACGCCTTCGCCCTGGCCGGGGACTACGAGGTGACCCAGGAGCTGCTGTACAGGCTGGATGAACAGGCTATCAAATCAGGTGCTGGGTCAGACTGGCAGCCCCTCAGGGCAGGGATGGCCATCTGGTGTGCTGGGCTCTAAAGCACAGTATGGGTGAACCGCGCGGTGTGAATGGTCATTTGGCGGCAGCAGCAGCTCTGGAGTGGAGTTTGAAGTCTGTAAAGCCAGGCAGAGATCAAGGAGCTAGACCTTATCAGACATACTTGGCTCAGGAACCTAACACACATGTGCAAATGGGAAAACACCCCCACTGACTTCCATGGGAGCAGAGTTAGGCCAGGCCCAAGTGTGTTTGGAAAATCCACCTTCTGCTAATAAAGGCTCTGGTGTGTAGGGTATTTAGGGACACTGGCGCACTTCCAGGAGCAGGTCCCTGCTGGCCGCCGGCCCAGTCACAGGGAATATAGTAACAGGCAGCATGTGAATAGTGTGACCACCTAGGCGGGCGGGGAAGTGGTGGAGCTCTCAGGCTGCAGTACAGCAAAGGGGGGCGTTTCAGCTCGAACACTTCCCAAAACAGAGGAGTGCGTGAGAATGTGCATCTTTCCTCAAGGGAAGGGGTGGGAGCCCCAGCACTCAGTACACTGAGATCTAGGAGTGGACAAATCCCCAGGGCATCGGCTGCAGGGAGGAAACCTGGCTTGGGCCCCCAGAGATGGCCGTGATAACTCCTCTAGGGCTTTCCCCATCTCCGGTTCCTAGGGTCTTATGAGAAGCATCTGCCCCCAAATAACTCGTGTGGTTTTTCCCTTTCCTAGGAGGCCAAATCCACTGGAGCCCTAAGCCCAGCTCCCCAGCGGCCACAGATTTCTGGCCTAGAACTCAGTCTGTGGATGTGGAGCTGACAGCCTACGTGCTCCTGGCTTACCTCTCCAAACCGCGCATAAACGCGGGGGACATGGCAACTGCTGCTGGCATTGTGGCCTGGCTGGCCAGGCAGCAGAACTCCCGCGGAGGGTTTGCTTCCACCCAGGTGATGAGCAGCTCCTGTCAGAGAGAGAGCCCCCCTCCCTCTAGGGCAGAGGGATAGATGGGAGCTGAATCTCCACACGGGGCAGCCTTTTTGATCCTTGGGGCTCTAGGAGAGCGAACACCAGTGCTGCTTTGCCGGCGGGTGGGGGGCAGGGCAGTTATCCCACTGTCTGGAAGGGTGAATGCAGGAGCTAGCGCCTGATGTGGGGTTTGTGCTTGGGGGGTGGCATCGTGAATCCCAGTGATAATGTTGTGGGGTGTGGCCCTCCCTGCACTCAGGAAGAGGGAGTGAATCTTGGGGCCAGCTCCTTAGGGGAGCACCTCTGTACTGAGGCAGGGAGAGCGACTTCTAGTGCTCATGCTCAGGAGCACAGACCCTGCTGCATGTAGGGGCTGGGAGGAGGAATCCCCCAGGAGCACAGGCAGCCCCTGTGCCCTCAGGGTTTGATACAAGCAGTGAGGTGCCTGTCTGTGCATCTCCAGGACACGGTGGTTGCGCTGCAGGCCCTGGCGAAGTATGCAGCCCGGACGTTCAGCACACTGGCACAGGTGACAGTGACAGTGAAGTCCAAGAGGAGCTTTGAGAGGAAGTTCCAGATCACCCAGAAGAACCGGCTGCTGCTGCAGCAAGCGGTGCTGACAGAAGTCCCCGGGGAGTTCGTGGTGCAAGCCCAGGGCAGCGGCTGCATCTATGCCCAGGTAAGTCTCTGGGGAGTGCGTCTGAGGCAAGGGGGAAGCTCTGCTGTTGGGGGTGGGAGTTCTGCTGTTTCCCTCCACAAGGCATTTCCAGCCTGTTGCTTCACCTCCTCTTGCTCCTCTGCAGACAGTGCTGAGATACCACCAGCCTCCTCCCCGGGTCTCCATGACCTTCTCTCTGCGCGTCACCACACAGCTGGGCGACTGTGCCAAGGGCAATGGGCGCTTCCTCACTGTCCGCATTCATGTCAGGTGAGCCCGCTCCCCACTGCCTCTGCCCCCGCCCAGCCCTGTGTGCACCACTCACCAGGCTGGAGCAGAGCAGGGAGTGACAGAGCTGGGCAGGGGACCAGGTGCCTGGCCAAGGGATGCAGAGAGCTTTGGCAGCTGGGAGCAAGGCGAGCCAAAGAGCTGGGTGCTGATCTGTGTGGGGAAAGGATGGCAGGAGCAGGTGTCTGTCAAGGGGAAGGGACAGCACAGCTTTAACGTGGGGGAGGAAGCTGGTAGGTACAGAGAAGGGAATTTCTGAGGGACACCCAAGAGAGTGGGGCAGCCTAGAGCAGGACTGTCCCATTAGCACATGGATCTTTGCACGCCATGGCCTCCTCTCTCTGCCAGTCCCTGTGCACAGGAGGCATAGACTGGTGAGGACCCATGGGGAGGAAGTGTTACACCCTACTACAGTCTGACCATCTCCCCCTGCCCCAGCTACGTCGGGAGCAGAGTCACTTCCAACATGGTGATCGTGGAGGTCTCCCTGCTGTCTGGATTCAGCCTGGCTTCGGGCTCCCGCACTTTGGTACGGTCCCTTGCAGCAGAAGGCAGGGAGGGGGGGCATGG